AAGTTAGGAGGGTGGTTACTCGGAGGAGGGCTTTCTCAGCGGTGGCGCCTAAGTTATGGAATGCACTCCCCAGAGAGGTCCGCCTGGCGCCGTCATTATTTGTTTTTCGGCGCCAGGCGAAGACCTTTTTATTTAAGCAGTATTTTAAATGTTAATATTATTGAATTTTATCTGGCCAGGGTGGCTTGTTTTATATTGTATGTTTTATATCATATATTTGTATTTTAATGTATATATTTTAAAATGTTATTTTAATTTATTGTTGTAAGCCGCCCCGAGGCTTCGGCGAATGGGGCGACATAAAAATGTTTTAATAAATAAATAAATAAATAAATAATTCTAAATTCCCTGGAATCCACATCAGCAATTGAAGACAGGTGCTGTCTCTCAGACCCAACCCAGCTTCCCCCAACCTGATGCCCTCTGGATGTGTTGAACTGCAATGCCCACTATTTCCAGCCGACACATGTGGAGGTGACCAGGTGGGAGAAGGATGCCCAAACCTATCTCAAAGAGCAGCTGTGAGGATAAAATGGGAACATGGGAAGGGACGAGAACCTTGAACCTCAGTATGGACTCTTTGAAAGAAAGATGGTGTATCAATTTAACAAAAACAGGCATGATTTCCAAAATAACACTCCACCCCACAGTCCGAATTAACCGTCTGCTTCAGCATCCCTTTCCGCGAATCTCAGGCTAGCCTAAAACTGCGTTCCCCCATCTGCAGCCCTGCAGATTTGCTGGAGTGCAATTCTCAGCTGGAAGAATAACAAGTTGCAGAATATCCAAGCCTGAGGAACGCTGGCCTATAACAAGCTAAAGAGCACGCCACTTCTGCTAAGCCCAAGGCATGCCGGGATATCTGAGCGGCACCGCAATGCTCGCTGGGAGTCGTAGTTCCTATCTTCTGAGACGGTTCCCGCGGAGCCGCCGCCGCCGCCGCCGCCGCCGCCGCCGCCGCCGCCAAATCAACCGACGCAGCCTCTCCCACATCTCCGCTAGCAGCCGGCTGGCTCCAGCCACAAGCCAGGCTTACCTCTGCAGCCGTCGTTCCTCCTGCCGCCATGATGTCGGGCTCCAACGACCGAGAAACCGGCCTCTCAAGAGAGCCGCTGAAGCCCAACAGCGCCCTTGAGAGACCGAATTCGAGTCTTCGCGCTCTTGCTCAGAGTTTAACCCCACCCCTTGTATCTTAACCAATCCCAGCTTGCTCCTTCCTTAAAGCCCCCCCCGCTCTCCGCTCTCCGTTCCTATTGGTCATCCCACTTGAACGACCGCTCTCCAGACCAGTGGGAAAATCGGATTGCGTTTGCCGCATCGCCTTCAGGAAGCAAGTCTCACCCTTAGATAAAAATAAAGGAAGAGACATACGCACATTTGATAGGGAAGGGATTTCCTGGTTTTGTTTGGTGTTATTTTTTTTCTTTATCGAACGGGGAAAGCTGTTATCCCTCTCTTTCTCCAAGATTAATCCCATACTAGAAGTCAACCAAAATCGCTCATGACAGCCCTGCATTTTAATTCACTGTTAATCCTGTAAATTAGAGGGGCTAAGAAAATGGCAAATTATAATTGTACAACAGCCCTTCAGTATAGCGCAGTGTTTATGTTAGCTCAATGAGTCCGTTTCAGATTTCCAACCACAAATCCTCCATATGCAACATTACTCCATTTGCAGCAAAAACCCAAGTTCATGGAGAGGCCTGTCTTGCTCATCCCGGGCTTCGGAGAAGGTGTTCGGGCTTCGGAGAAGGTGACCTGAACCTTGTCCTGAACGGGGTTGCACTCCCTCCTAGGGACAAGGTCCGCAGCTTGGGAGTGCTCCTCCACCCGGAGCTTTCACTTGAAGCTCAGGTGACAACAGCGGCGAGGAGCGCTTTCCTCCAGCTTCGGCTGATTCATCAGCTGCGCCCCTACCTGGAGTACGACTGCCTGACGACAGTGACACACGCGCTGGTGACTTCCCGCCTTGACTTCTGTAACGCGCTCTACATGGGGCTGCCCTTGAAGATGGTCCGGATACTTCAGTCGGTTCAAAATAGAGCTGCCAGGCTGCTGACGGGGACTGGGCATTGTGTTCACATGACTCCAGTTCTCCGTCAGC